GTGAGCTTGCTCTGAGCAGAGATGTCGAAGCCTCGAATGACCTCATCTAGGGGAGATACTCCAGTTTCCCTGGAGAATCAGAAATGCAAACTGACAGGGTCTGGGTAAAACAGTCCTCCTACGGAGAGGATCAGACCCACTCTTGGCAGCAGAGTCCCCCAAAGAGATGGAAAGCTAAATCAGATTGGCAGTGTCTTTCACTCTCTTTTGAGCAGATGCTGAAGATCTCAGGACCAGGGTCTGGCTCATACACCTCCCTTTCTTCACAGCTCAAAGGCTCCAGTCCTACTGAACACCCCTGAACGCTTCTGAATGGTCTCAAAATTTAGCTCTGACTCTGCAACTCTTCACTGAACCGTGCTCTTAGAGCCCCTGATGTTAACCAGAGACGGTATTTCACTGGACATGGCACTATTTTCAGTAGGAAAACAAGTGTGCAGAGAAACTTAGAGGAGGGCGTTTAAGTTAGATTATTACTTATCTACGTACATGCCTTACCAGGCCTAAACTGGTAATCCTTACCTCTTCGAACATTCGTGTTACCTTCAGGGGGAATTAGAGAAATGAGAAGACTTCCAAGACAGCAAGTGTACATTGCAGCCTGGAAGGTTTAGTTATTAGGAAGTGCTCTCTCCCAATAACGACACGAAGCGCTGGTGTGGCCTGCCGGGGAGCGTCTAAGATCTCCGTCGTTGGAGATTTTTAGGAACAGGTTGGCAAAACATCTTCTGTGGTCACACGTGGCCATCCCTCTTTGTCAGTCCTAAGTAACTTCTGGCACATTGGGCTAACTTCAACCACAGCTGACAGAAAAGTAGTGATATCAAGGATATTATGTTCCTACATGTTTAAGAAAACCCAGTGGCTGAAAAGAAGAACAATGCAATTAATGTTTTCACTGATTTGTAACTTGGCCCCATAACTTCTTGGAGAGGCAAAGCACACATCTCCAAAGCAGTCACAGCGAGCAACGCACCTCAGGAGATGCATGGAGGAGTGTAGGGGAATGTGTGCATGGGTCTGGGACTAATGCCATTTAGGCACAATCTGCAGGAGATCAGGCTTCACTGCTTCATGCTTCGATGCGGGTGAACAATACAGGTGAAGTAAGAGTCTAACTTTGAGAATCCGTTCTGCCCTGCACAGACAGCCTATGTGGAAACAGCATACAAAAATCCCATTTTTAAGCATGATTTTCCAGCATGCACAAAAAGTTATCAGTACCCAAAGATGCAGCTTATACCAGTGAAATATTAGTATCTGATAATACTAAGCACAACAGGTTATCAGGGTATTTCCCTATACCAAGAAGACGAAGTAACACAGACAGCTTGGAAGATAGGGAGGGTATGGTGAATCCTACTAACACGGCCCCAAGCTACTGCACTGAACACCAGAAACCAAAAATCGTGTATTTACTCACTAGCAAAGTATACTATCATACCAAGACATAGTTCAATAAAACTTTCATTTCTGAAAGTACTTTATTTTCCCTGCCTTCCTCTGGGGAAATCTCACTCAGCATCCAAAAGGAGTGAAACCCTCTGAGTATTTCAATGTTTGCCTTTGTTCTCCGGCTGTGCAGATCTTAACGTTACAGCATGAAATCAACATCAGGAGCAGAGCAGTGGGTTTCTTGGCTTGAAAGCACATCATCATAATGCAAATATGATAAAATTTCTGTATTGTCTGTAAAATTCTAGCTGAATCACCCTAGGAGAGGCAGCTGCACTGGTAACTCCACCTCGAACGAAAGTTGAGCAGTATCTCCTCTCAGAAGCCTGCTTGGAGTTGTGCATAACTTTGCCAAACTTCAAATCACTGCATTGAAATAGCCTGTATTTTGAAAAAAATAAATGAAGATAAAATGGCCCGGCATTTCTAAGAAACAAGCTGACGCTTTGAGACAGCACACACATTCTGAATTGTCAGATTTAGAGATCTCTGAACTGGACTTTTGGTCTATTTTCAATCAAGAGGATTGTGGTGGTCTGAGCAGTTTTATGACTGCTCATAAAAACTTGTGTAAAAATAAGGGGCTGAAACCAAAGCAAGAGGTCATGTTTGTACATGAACATGGCAGGATGCACCAGCAGCTGCCTAACCCTAGGAAGAGCTCCCAGAGGGACTTGCAGGAATAAACTAAGTGTCAACTAGATACGGACAACTCACCTCCTGAGCTTCCCCTCCTAAAAACTCCTAAACAGGTACTGCCACCTGTGCTTGCCCATATCTTTAACAGACCAGACTAGACGCAATATTTAGCCTTTAAACTGGCCTGTTAATAAGCATGCCTCTCAAGCAGCAGCAGATGTACCCAAGGGCAACACAGGGAGGTTTGGGGTACTTCCAAAGGCCTTATGTAGAGTGAGCTGTGAGACGTCCAGGGACCGCAATGTGGATTTTCCACAAAATTGCAAGGAGTGTCCTAACAGCTGGCATGCAACAAAAGGTCTTCTTCAGCAAACATTAGTTAATACCCATTTAGCAAGCAATGAGTTAAAGGAGAACGGCAAACATAGTTGCGATTGGCTGTGCTCATGATACCAATCTTTATTTTCAGGAGGGCCCTAATGTTACCTCTTATTCTTTTTATCTAAATGCTATCTCTTGGACCATGCTTGATCACAAGCCCTTCTAATTCATGTCAAACCCCAGCTGTAAATGCAGGTTACTCTTGAGAAGAGAGAGAACACACAGAAATCAGAAGCTAAAAAACCCACAAGGGATCTAATAATAAATAGGGCAGCGATGTAAACAAATAAGATAGATACCTCACGCCGCACAGTGCTCCTGAGCTATTGCAGCAACAAGTTGGTGTTACCTAGGAAACAAGAGATTATTCTCGCAGATGGAAACTGGGCAGCGAGGCGTGCCGAATCGATTTTGAGTCTTCTCAACTTTGTGGAGTCGCAGACCCGACTCCCAGCCGTTGATGCAAACTCAGAAGGCAAAGGCAGTGCAGAGGTTGCACCATCCTTGGTGCAAAATTCACGGTCACCAGGATGAGTGCCTGGCCATCTCCTCCCCTCTCCCTTGGGATAATTTGATGCTCTTCCAAGAGACTGTGGGGGAAAGATTACTCCCTGGTGTACCCTACGCAAAGGACCACGTGGCCTTGTCTGATTTGCAGCAGTGAGGTGGACTGGGCACACCGTCAAATGACTTTAAGAAAATAAGCTTAGGCTCATGTGTTTTAGCCTGCAGCTGAGGTAGATTAAGAGCACACGCACACACCGAGTTCGTCATGCCGGCTCCCTGGATGGGCGGTCATTTGTTATGGTGCTGCAGCCTGATCTCATTCAAGCGTGCAAAATGACCCTATAGTTTTTAAGGAATTGTCCTGTCTCTTTTAAAGGGAATGATAAAAAGGATCAATCCTGCTCAGCAGCAGGTTCAGTCCAATGCACGGATCCGCACAACATCTTGGTCCACCCCGTAAGTACTCAGAGCTGCATCCCCACCTGCACACAGGCTCACAGCAAATGTTTTTGCTGGGGCTTCTCATCACTGTGGGCTTCAGTGAAGCTGTGTCCATTTATAACAGATAAACGCTTAACTCTTGAGAAATAAACTGGCTAGGTGTACAAATAGAACTGTAACAGAAAGCATAAATTGCAAGCAAGTGTTGAACTGTGTGCAAGTGGAAACTTATACTGATAAATATTCAGTGATGTCTATGATGGCAGACTTGCATTTCAGATAATCCAATGATCTGGACATCAGAAATTTAGAAATGCTAGGATTACTCCACATTAAACAAGTTAATAATAAATAGGATTTTTTTTTTCTGAAGAGGTTAAACAAAAATAGAGATTTGTAAATCAGCTGGTCATGAAATTGATACTTCACACAATCCTCCTGTTTGGGGGGGGGAGGGGGAATTTGTACAATGCTGAGGTTTTGCAGCATTTCGGGCAGAAATTGAGGACTACAAAAACAGATGAAAAATATGCAGGGCACTGTTCTTCCCAAACTTCCAGTAGGACAGCTACTAATGCCACTTGCATGCCTGGATGCTACCAACAGATTTGCGTAGTCACCCAGGAGTTTGGGCTTCCCATGAGGTTTTAATTCAGACCTGCCTGTAACGCATGCTTGAGGCTGCCCGATGGCACCTCTGGTCCTTCACAGTCGTGCTTTATCCCTCTGCCCTGCCTGTCTGCTCCACTCTTGTTCCAAGCGATCTTGTCATTGAAGAGGAAGAGAATAGAGAAGGTAAGAGGAAATGTTATCTTCAATTCACGTTTGTTAACTGATTTCAAAAAGGAAGAAAAGCAGAATGAGTATCTGCCTGGCACTTCCATCCGTCCTGCTAGGTGACCTTTCAGCCATGTGATGAGAGGGTCGAGTCACCCAGAGCACATCCCACTTGTGACAGCACCCTGCTCTTCCCCGACGGGCTCAGAGGCGGAAAGGGAGAAGAAGAAGGGCTCTAGTTGTGCCAAAGGGGCGCTCACGTAAAGGGTTAAAATCTATTTGACCCTGCTGTCAGGCCTGAGCATCACGTTCAGATGAGGATGAAACTTTCCTGTAAATTCACCACCACTGCACATACCGTCTTGGATCATCTCTCTCTTAGTACAGACCAGATTTTTGCCAGATTTCACTTTATCGGGTGGATTTCTGTCTTTCATGTCAAACAGATTGAAAAAGGAGAGCAAAGGGGGGGAGCTGAATTTAACTTTTCTTGAGTCGCAGAGAACTAAACTGTGACAATTCTGTAGGGCCACTTTTGATCCCCTTACATAAATCTCTTTCCTCTGATTTGATTTTTGGGACTATTCACACAACACATCAGTCCCAAATTTCACAAAGTGTATGGCAATCTGGCCTGCCACACCTGAAGCCTCATCCCACCCACCTGCCAGGGGTTTCGCAGACTGCACCAAAGAAGATAAATACCTCTCATGCAGCCCATCTTTTTGATCAAAGAACAAAATCAGAACAAGAACAGTTGACAATTTTGACAAGAAAACTTAATTGGCTTCAGTACTTACAATTGCATGACCAGATATAAATGGTTCGGACTCTCATATATGTCTTCCAGGGCAACTATATTTTCATGCTTGATCCTGAAAAAGAACAAGCAAGGTAAGCAAAAGACGAAATGGTGATTTTTCTAAGTAGCTGCAAAACAGAAAGCTTCTTTTGTCAGTGCTTTTTTTCAACACCGTAAAATACGACCTTGACTGAAGTAAACAGTCATGAGTGCTTCGTAGTCCAGAATAGCGTGATTCCTTCAACGTGCTGAGAGGCCAAAATGTTTAATGATTATGTATTTGGGGCATTAGCAGCCTACAGTTCCCGTGTCAGTCAGATGAAGACGGTTGAGTTCCCAGGGCAGCAGCAAAACAGGGTGCAAGGGTGTGACAGATGCAGAGCATGGCAGTAGAGAGAAGATGATTCTTAAGAGAAGAATCATCTGTACAAACAGGCATCCTATTAACTACTCAGAGCAGTGCCTGTCCAGACGTGCAGCTTAAACAGTTATGAGCCATTTCCGAAGCGTACATTTAACTTGTGTAAACCTTATAGGGACAACCGGTACAACTTCAAGGGGCAGAGTATGAATTACACCAGTTGCAGCCAATTGTTTCAAGAGCAAGAAGGATGCAGGAGACACTAAGCGGAGACTGCTGATTAAAGAACATATGCACCCATTCGGAAAGAAAACAGTGCATTTACCAGCAAGGGCCAAACTCTCTAAAAGTTTCAAGGTTCAGCTAATTAAGATGCTTAATTACATGTCAGGACCTCATACCTGGCAGTTGTAAGCACCCTAAACTCTCCGTGAAGATACAGAAAGTGGAAGGTCCTCTGCACCTGGCAGCGTCTTTCCTGTAGGAACGCAGGCTAATCCAGTTCCCTCAGAATTCAGTGGAAAGATTATGACTGACCTGAATTTAGACCCATAATCACTTATCAAAAGCTGCACTTGTGTAAGGACCTTCACACACAGGAAATTTAACATCAACAATAAGTGAGCCCAAATATAATAGGCTACAGGACGTTAGAGCAACACACATGTGAGCAGGCTCTTAGCTCTCATAAATATCTGGGAAATTCCATGATATTTTAGTAAAATTTCCAGGTACACTGCATCACAAATCAAGTTCTCAACATTGACGATAGGAACCCAACAGATCACCCCCTTGTCTTTAAACAGCACTAGGTCTGGAAGCTATAATTCTGTTGTGCAGCTCTAGTGCCTGGTCCTTTAAGGGTTATAGTTAGGGCACAGATAGTTTTGTCTTGATGTAGTTAGGTGGAGTTACTTTAGTATCCTAAATGCTATTTCGAGAAAATATTCACTTTCTAATGGAAATTATCATATGTATTTCTCCATACTCCTTTATGTACACATACATACACACAATCATTGATGTATCTCATATCATCATGACAAGAAGGTGGTTTTAATACAAATAACCCTTTTTGCATGTGTCATAGTAATACCTGTTTAAAGCCTCCAACCTAGACTACAGTACTTTTTTTATCATGCACGTATTAATGCTTTGCATTTATATTTTTGAGAACCTCACTGGTTCTCCAAAGCAACCTAACATGGTACCTTCCGAGACACTCACTGTTGCACATGTGGCAAACAGTGGGTTGCCCACAAACAGCCATGGAAGCAGAGGCCAGAAAAGAGCATATTAGACATGCAACACTGCACGTTGAGGGTTGCCACAAGACCTCTCCCCTTTCTGACTGTCACCACTAGACACAGGTCTGATGAGTCTCCTTCTTTTTCTAGTGTCTCCAAAGGCAACCTGCCAAACGAACGATTCAGCAGAACTGGAAGGGAGGTGTCAGTGACCACATCAGAGGAGGGGCTGGTGTTTCAAAACGAGGAACTGGACTAACAAGGGGGTCCCTGGTGTCATGGCCAAGGACAGTCAACAAGTAGCAGACTCCCATAATATCGACATATGGTTTTCCTACCCGGTGCGACGCATTTTTGGTTACTTTGATTTATAGAGATGTTCAGTTAAACAATCTCGCCACTGCTTGCTCTCGGTGCTCCTCCAACATTTTAAAAGGTAATTAAAAACACACTACTCCTTTGGCCATTAATCAGCAGGCACAACAAGCCAGCGCTTCAAACCACGTCTCGGCTCTTGCATTTTTCAGCCGCTCACAGCTTTGTAAACCTAATGGGCGCCGGGCTGCCGTGCGCTCTGCAGGCGGATAAACTCGCTCTGCTTTAAACTGAAAGAGGGAGTAAAGAGTTAGCTCGAGCCCACCAGGGTCCCCTCTGTTGCCGCTGATCTGCTGCTCTCGGAAATCAGCAGCAGAAGGTGGAGGGGATTCATCAGGGAAAGACACAGAGAGAGGGAAAAAGAGTTCAAACTGAGAATGAGGCAGACAGGTGAAGACAGGGAGAGTAAAATGCAACGGGGCAAGAAGACGGCAGAAGAGTCTGAACATGCGTAGCAAGGCGAAAGGAAGGAAAATGGAAATTACGGCCGGTAAGAGGAGGACTAGATGCCTACGGATCTCCTTTTTGCTTTGTCATTGATGGTGTTTCTCACTTTTTAAAGTGAGATTTGGAGACGAGACGAAAAGCCTCATCTCACTCCCAGACTCAAAGGATTATAGGGGAGCAGGAGCACCCCCAAGCCTCCCTTCTCCCAGTGGAACGACAGCGGAGGCAGCAATTCATCACATGAGTGACCAGGCTCATCTCACCCTCACTGTCACACTGGAAGTGTGCCTTGTTTGTATTTAAAACCCCCAAAGTCTAAAGGGAACCAGCTCCCACCAGGGATGGAGGGTCCACTTTGGAGGTGCCGCCTGCGCGCAGCACAGACCCGGCAGCCGCCCCGGCCAGCACAGCCACCAGGCAGGACCGCGCTGGAGCAGCTCGCCGCCGTGGGCATTTTTTCCACTCTGCCCCAGGCTCCTCAAGAGCAGAAGGGCTTTAACCTTGGCATTGCCCCGTGTTCATCAGCCCTGCCGAAAGGCCCGTCTCACTTCTGGAAGTCAGCCTTTCGGCCAGCGCAACGTTTCCCTATTGTAAGACTCAGGTGATAAGCTATTTAAAGGAAAACGGAATTTAAAAAGAACAAATCAATGGAAACAGCTTGGGTGGAAACCTACGGTTTAGGTCAAGTTGCAGGTTTTGTCAATAAAGCTTAAATAAATCAGTCCTGTGCTATCCAGCAGAGGTCACTGCAGTCAGCAGCAATCACCGCCGATGATTATTCCTCTGCGATTCTCCTCCTTCTGCAGAAATTCATGCACTCCTTTCTTTACTTTGAAACCTGGAAGAGCAATTGCCCAGAGCTCCACTATCGAAATAATTAAACCTTCTCTATGGCTGAACAACACCGATCAGAAAAATATCCCAGGGTCTGGGAGACGTGCTGCGTTATCGACACCGGGGCTGGCGTCGAGAAGAAGTTGTTCGACGGCAGGCAGCGAATGTCCGGCTCCTCTCCGCGCGGCTCTCCGGCGCCAGTGGCGCGAGGAACGGGCGAAGGCGCTTTTGTGCCTCCTTGATGCCATTTGCGCAAACGGGCGTCGTGGTACATCGAGCGCCGAGCAAAGTCCTGCGCAGTCACAGGTCCTTGATGGCCACGGATCAGCAGGGATTTGGGAACGGCTTAATTAGCTCCACTTTTATCCCCCACTCGAAGCACGGAGCGAATCTCAAAGGTTCAGGGGATTCAGTCTGCTAAGCCTCAAAATGCTTGTGCGCACCCACTGCTGATCTCTCTCGCAGAAATACCAGGCTATCTCATCTCCTCGAGACCTGCTGGGATTTAATTTATTTTTAAGCTGCTGCTCTCCTTTTACAGAGGGGGAACCGGTACGCAGGGCAGCTAAAAGGTTTTTCTGTGATCACACGGGAAGACGGGGCCTAGACGCCAGATCTCCCAAACCCTGCGGTATTACTCTAACCAACGGGCCATGTTATTCCCATCCCTCTCCTTCACCCCGGGGTAAGAGTATCTGAATCCTACTTTTCCATAGCCTTTTTCTTCCCGCGGTCCTCCCTCTCCGGATGCTCTTCTTCCCGGCACATCCCCCCTCGCTGCACTCTGTGGACGTCCCAGACCATCATCACACATCTGCTCTGCATCCCGTCGGCTACTAGAGATAACGAACCAGCCCTGGAGTAACTTCAAGCAAAGCAATTTATTGATGGTTTTGCACTACGTGATGGTGCCACATTACACCGTACCATGGAAGGGCACGGCACAGCCCATAGGGTCGGTGGTGGCAACATCTTAGATGATTAGAAGGACTCAAATTCTCAGCGAGAATTCTTACCAAAAAGGAAAAAAAGGAATAAAGCCCTCAAACCAAACATCAAGAACCAAGCTTGCTCAAAGCAAATTATATTACATACGTTGTTACCAACAAGGCAAAATCCAGCTAAGGAAATGAGCTTTACAACCCTTTTAACCTGCCCTTTCTCACACTTGCTGTTTAACCAGGCACTCTCTCGACTCACGGACAAATCCCACGCACTGCTCTGATTTTCCCACACACCACCGTGTCCCCACAGATCCCCTATCTGTGAAACGACGGGAAGGTGCCATCTCGGGCGACTGACGCAAAGTTCTTCTTCAGGGCTATTGTGAGGGCATTAGATAGAAAGAAGATGTTGAGAAATAGTAATGCAAAGAAAGGGAGAATCATACTCTAGCAAATTAACTCCCCAACAAGGACCACAAGATGCTGGAAATCAGGGGGCAAAGGAGAAGAAAACCCATCTGGAAGGAGGCATCAGGGAAATTTCAGGAGAAATAAAACACGAAGAGTGACTAATCCTGCAGCAAGGCTTGATGCAGAGGTAACCAGGCAAAATCGCAGGACTTCCCTTCTGGTCTTTCAGGTTGTGATTCTGCTCATGTGCTTTTGCAGAGGTGTCAGCAATACAAGCGAGCGGAGGAAACGTTGCACTCGAGCAATACTTCAGCGCATATAAGTTAGTGATCAAATTGCCAGCCAAGACTTACAGGGGCAAATTGAACCAGGCAGCCAAAGACTCTGCGTTAGCTTTCCTGAGCGTGACAGCTGTGCAAACAAGGGCTGCTGGGAGAGGTTTTGATCTGCTCCG